TCTCGCCCCAGCGAAACTTCAGGAAGAAATTCCAAAAATCCACGGCTTTCAAACTCGAAAAACAGTGAAACTGAAAACCTCAGCCGTGAAAGTCTAAACCATTTTATCAATGTATTTGCTTATTATCAATACAACAGATTCAGTAGCATCGTCAAAGTAGATAAATATAGTACAAAACATGCACATTAAAAGGTAAAGCATCAAAACTTGCAGTTAAAAATTCTCTTACGTCATATGGACAGAGATTAACCAGCAGCCCTTTTATACTTTTTTTGGACTCAATCATACAGTGTGACCCATTGTTAATGGAAACACCCCCCTAAAATTTGAAGTTGTAAACCGATTTCAATGATTTATATTAAAAGGTCTACTTTGGGACAAAATTTGAAATGTTTATTAAAGTTTCAGGGCATACAACGATATTTTTTCTTAGTCGAAAATCGGGATTTTTTATTAGCGATTNGATTTTTTCAATAAAAAAATCGCTAATAAAAAATCCCGATTATCGACTAAGAAAAAATATCGTAGTATGCCCTGAAACTTTAATAAACGTTTCAAATTTTGTCCCAAGGTAGACCTTCTAGTACTTATTGAAATCGATTTACAACTTCAAATTTTAGGGGGGTGTTTCCATTAAAAATGGGTCACACTGTATATGTAATTCCCTCATATATGGTGATAGATGGTTGAAGAGCCTTATCGCCATAGTAAAAAAAATGTTGTGGCATAAGAAGATTGTGACCATTTCTGATCAAATATTCATGGTTGCGATTGACTTGAGGGGTGTTATTTTGTGTCTTGATATAGACAATACATTGAAATGAGGGACCACCAAGTAGACAGATCACAGATCATGATTGGCTGGGTTGCCTCCCAAAACAAATCCCGATCAAATTGAAGGTGATTAATGGGGGACGACCTGCAGAAATAGTAATTGAATCAACGTATTCCTCTTATGGTAGTCGGGAAATATCTTCACCAAGAGATATGGAAGAATTACTAAGAGACTACCAAGTAGACATATCACATATCATGATTATCTGGGTTGTCTCCTAGAACAAATCCCGATCAAATTGAAGGCGATTTATGGGGAACAACCCGAAGAAATTGTAATTGAATCACCGTATCCTTCTTATGGTAATCGAGAAATATCTTCACCGAGAGATATGAAAGAAGTACTAGGAGACTGCCAAGCGGACAGATCATAGATCATAATTGGCTGGGTTGCCTCCCAGAACAAATCCCGATAGAATTGAAGGCGATTCATAGATCAACGCATCTTCCTTATGGTAGTCAGGAATTGATAGTCAGATGTGGAAGAGTTACTAAGGAACCACCAAGTAGACAGATCACAGATCATGACTGGCTGGGTTGCCTCTCAGAACAAATCCCGAGGATTACACAAAAACAAGAATAGCCTCACAAATGTATCATAAGAGTTCCAACAAAATCATTGGAGGCCTCTAAGGGGCTTTCAGGAACGATTGGAGGTGGCAAAGATAGTTGAGAATTTGAAAAGGAGGAAAATATTGTTACCAAAGGAGGTGCTATTGTGTTCCACAAATGGTAGCATCCAACGGTGAATAGTTGAACTGTATATATGAATGAGAAACATATGTTCATGTCTAGTGTTTTGAGTGAGTGTGCTCTTGGTCCAATCATTATAGACGTGAAAAACTAATAATATACTTTGCCAAAGACGAAGCACTAGAAACAACAACGATATGTGAAAGACAGTTGTAAGGACTTCTGTTTCACACTTTGACTTAGTTTTGATATTTACGATGGATGCCGTATATCCAAATAAATTCAGCATCGTCTTTGATTGATTGACGACTTGTTTATTTTGTAAAAATTCCTGTTCACTGAGATTACACTATAAAAACACAGTTTCATCTATTTTCCTGGATAATTTTGATTTTGTTGACTAGTTTCGAAGTATTTATACCTACATACTATACCTACCTGAGTATTTATACCTACATTGCCTATACCTGTCATAAATAATTTGATACCTTCATTGTCTATAACTACCTGTGATAACCTAAATTAATAGTAGTTTATCGATGACGATAACAAAAAAAATCTTGACAAAATGTATAGGTTTTGGGAACTGGGTTATAGTTCAAGAGAGGACTATTATTTAGATCAAGTTGTTCGTTGAGGATAATAGAATTGGGATTTTTATATGACTTTTGTTTATTTCCATAGATTCATACACTTTCATTATTTTTCCTTTTTTGCATGGGTGGAGGATTTTTAAATTATCTTTATCTATTTTGTGTTTGGAATTTTGAAGGTGTTCATACAGTAATGATTTTTTATCCGAAATGACATGTTCATGGTACCTTATATCAAAATTACTACCAGTTTCGCCTGTATATATGGCGGGACATTCACCACATTCTAGTCGATATTTACCAGATTTCTTCCCTTTGTCTAATTTAGGTTTGGCATCAAATAATCTGTTTCCTAAATTTCCGTTGGATTCAGTAACTCAGCATATTTAGATTATATTTACAACGCTTCGTATATGCATACTGCAAAAAATACAATGGCAACAAACGAGGAGCTCCATGAGGGAGGGGTACTGACTGCATTATCCCTTCCGGATCCACCACTGCTTTCTCCAAAAGCTACANTCTTCCCTTTGTCTAATTTAGGTTTGGCATCAAATAATCTGTTTCCTAAATTTCCGTTGGATTCAGTAACTCAGCATATTTAGATTATATTTACAACACTTCGTATATGCATACTGCAAAAAATGCAATGGCAACAAACGAGGAGCTCCATAAGGGAGGGGTACTGACTACATTATCCCTTCCGGATCCACCACTGCTTTCTCCAAAAGCTACACTTTCCGCTAGAAAACTATGGAGATTGCAAATAGTTGGCAACCTTAGAAGATCAATTCAAATTCTATTGTTTTAGATACTTTCTCCAATTTCCGATCATGTAAATATGTTTTCACGGCTACACGTAATCGTTACTAGATTGGTGATCATTTATTCACTTTCAACCCGCACATGATTATTCCGATATAAAAACCATGAAGCAATTTTTTGTTGTTTTCTTCAAAAACGAAACTTTTGACGGAAACCAATTCAGTAGTTGATTCCTAATTGAAGTTTTGCCTAGTCGAATTATTTCATTGGTTGATTACCTAAAAGAGATTTTGAAATTTTCGGCTGAGTGTGGATTCTTTTTGATATTGTGTGCGTTGGAGCATCTTGTAGTAGTATCAAAAACCATAGCTGCAAACGCAGGATTTATACCAGGCAGATAAATAATCAGTATCTACATCTCCTATCAACTAAAGAAAATCACCTAGAAAACACCTTCCATTGTCAAGAGGTAAATAGAACAGCTGATCGAGGGTCACCGTCAGCAAACGGAAACCCTGGCGCAGCCCTGCGGAAATCATCACCAGCATCTCAACCGACATCAAGAGGAGGTCGTCGAAGAAGACGACCGTCTCTCAAAATGACTCGAGGGGCTTGATGTCCACGAATCTGCCTTGCCGAGGAGTACACGCTGGAAGAAGTGCTCGCTCTACTACATCGACAGGGACGACTTGCGAAGGGTCGGCCTGAAGCGGGGCACCTAGTTTTGAATATGGCGCGCCATACAACAGCACAGGCTGGGGGGAAACGCGACGCAACCGTTTGTAATGGTGTTACGATGGACGAGAGCGAAATGGTTTGAGATTTAGAGGGTAGTAGGGAAACAATGATATTAGTTCCTAAGGCTAATTGCACACACACCGATTTTGGACGGCTGATATTATACCGGTCGTCCAAATTCCAATAGTGAACCACATGTGGGAACGGGACCTTGCACACATGTGGTTCACTATTGGAGTTTGGACGACGGGTATAAAATCGGCCGTTCACAATCGGTGTGTGTGCAATTAGCCTAAATGTGAGCCTTTGCAATTCCAGCGACATGATTGTGGCAAAACATAGTGGTGTCCATTTTAGCCCTCAACAAACTTATCGAAGCACTGGAATTGTCTGACCTGACATTATTATATCCGGTTCGGAGAGATTCGGAGAGAAAACCGATGGCTGGGTTTTTGTGGCAATGATTTGAACCTGGTTACCTACACCCCAATTCGAAATCACTTCTAGATCCTCATTAAGATTTGCAACCTCCTGCCGGTGAAGATGTGCTTTCGTAGCTGATGTCCTGGATCCAAATGGAATGACGAAACAAGTGTGCTGTCTTCAGCAAAGCAATATATTGGATTCTTGATTTTTTTCCAATTAGACGTTGATATACAATAAAAATATACATTAAAAAACTCGAATAGTGGGTGCCCCACGATTCAAACGATCAATAAAAAAGTTCACGTTTCGAGGTCTGTTCTTTGATTTTTAGGTAATCAAAACGATTGTTTTTTGGACAGGATCGTCAAGTGGATGAAAAGTGGATCCTCTACGACAACAGGAGACGTTCAGGACAGTGGATGTACACCGATGAGCTAGGCAGGCACTCTTCAAAGGTGAAAACCCGACAAAAAAGTCCATGGTTACTGTATGGTGGTTAGCGGCTGATATGACTCACTTTAACTTTCCGCAACCGGGCAAAACCTTTGTGAGGAAATCGACAAAATGTATCGAAAACTCCGTTAGCAGCAGCCGACACTGGTCAACAGAAGAGGTCTGATCCTGCTCCACGACAAGCTCGTCCGCACATTTGACAAATCACCGTCTGAAAAATAAACTAATAGAGCGTCGAATGTTCTTTGAAATTTTCGATTACACTTACAGGGGGAGTCAAGTTTTCTTTGGAACGGCCTGTGTGAAATATTTATTGATAATTTCACTCTTCCGTCACAAACTTCTAATGGATGCTGGATGTTAAACATACGTCGTATAAGTTTTATTCCATTAAGATAACTCCATTCTGGAGGAAAGAGATGTCACACTAGAAATTTGTTGACACAGTACATTTTCTCATACAATGAAAAATGTTAAATAATTATGAAATCAACTTACCTAGAGATCCTATTAATTTGATTCGTTACATCTTTGGATCCATAACCGATGGAGTTCTTCAGCCTGCTGAACGAACCCAGGAGGCTATTGTCCGACCTTCTTCTAGTTTCTAACTTCTTCCCGCATATTTGTGAAGCAGGAAGCAGCGCAGGTAGCGTAGGTGCTGTCTGGCATCTGTTTCCTAATAATCTTTCAAACTGCTCTGGATGACGGCCATTTTCCACACGCACGTCTTCTAGAATGTCTTGGCTATTATTTGTCATTGTTTCATTTGGTTCATGTTAATGATGATGAATAAGATGTATAAATTATTATTAAATCACAGATAAATTCGTTCTAGTTGTATATCACAGCACTTATTTTGTAGGAACCTTGTTGATGGGTTTTGTATCTGAAAAGAGATGAAAAAAGCATTAAGAACATGTAGACAGGATATTTATTGAAAGGAATCATTGCTAAATCATCACAAACACTCACTTTTGACGAACCCATTATTTGAAGAGTGAAGCATTTTGTTGAGATGTCAATCATTTTCCTAATCATTCGTTTATTGGTATTACCCAGGTATGAATGAGCGGAAAAACTATCCATATCAAATAGAAATTCCGCGAGTGATACGAACTAATCTGTTCAATCTGAACAATGAGAGTATAATAACTAATAAATAAGCATGGATGGCCATCAACACATAAGGCCTTTAGGGCCGGGAGAAAGAACAATATCCTTCCTTCGGTGCCGGCCGTGGGACTACACGGTTAACCACCTGGCGCTCCACAAAACTAGGCCCCTGAAGCCCCTGGATTGTCTGGATGCAAAGGTGCATAGTGTTATTACATAAGAGGCTGACATCTGGCAAATTGACATTGCCGTGTATAGCGTCGTTTAATCGCTTTCCGAATCGGAGGGACGAAATGCCGGCCTGGCGGTTCGGAAGATTGAACGGCGTGTCCACAAGATGAAGGCTAAGATCACGTCGGCTAGACAACACGCTTATCGTATTCAATGTGTGATGGATTACAAGGCAGGATCTAGAAGTCATTTCGAATTGGGACCAGGTTCAATTCAATGCCACAAAAACCCAGACATCGATTTTCTCCAAAAAGATAATTGTCTCCGAACCGGATATGATAATGTCAGGTCAGACAATTTCGCTTTCTGCTTCGATAAGTTTGTTGGGGGTTAAAATGGACATCAATATGTCTTGGCACCATCATGTCGCTGAAATTGCAAAAGCTGCTTCTCAAAAGCTTGAAACACTGTTCCGAACCAGAAAACTGTACACACGTCAGCAACCTTTTATTGCTTTACAAAGCTCACATCAGGCTTTCTTTGGAGCCATCTAAAAAAGAGCCATCCGCCTGATTGGAGACACGAACGTCAATTGCAACCTCGATAGTCTGGAACATCGAAATAAGGTTGGAGATTCGTCTCTCTTCTATAGATACTTTCACGGGAAGTGTTCACGTGACTTGGCACATTTGATTCCACTAAGAGCGGTACATATCAGAAATACGCGACGGACTGTAGCTGCTCATCGTTTTCAGGTTCAGCTCAGTACACCTCGAACTTCACTGTTTAAGAACTCTTTGATTTGGAGAACTGCGTTAATGTGGAATACAACTGCTGAGCACGTTTTTCCAAATTGACCCAATGTCCAGCGATTCAAATTCAATTTGAATCGCTACTTTCGCACAGGTACCGCCTCAAGGATTTTTCTGTTGTGCTTGTATTTTGTCCTTTAAAAAATGTTAAGGACATCTCTGCGTTCATTATTTGGACCAAAAAGGATAAATGAATCGAAGAGGTTTTGTATTAAAGTGTATAATATTTTAAAATTCTTGCAAAGCGCTTTCGACTTTCGTCATCATCAGTGCTCACTTGTCAGGCAACAGGAAGTATCAAAATAAGTGAATTGTACATTTGTAATATTTGAATTATATAAAACAAAATAGGCTTATAGCCAAGAAAATACACTTTTGGTTTGAGGCTATGTGGTTCGGTCAAAGTATCATATCAAAAAGGATGATTTTGATCTGGAGAAATTTATAATCAAGCAGTATTCTGAAGCATAATTGATAAATATAACCAGTTCCCTATCAATTATAATATAAGCGGTATCAGTTTCTAAAGGAGTGAAAGAGAAATAAATTTGAGTATCATCTGCATTACAGTGAATGCTACATTATTGAATTTATATACCGCAAACAACAGTGGTACTAGAATTGATCCTTGAGGGAGCACATGAACCTTCATGAAGAATTCCTCTGAGACAAGAACTGATAACTGCGGTGACGAAAAATCACTGGGTTACTTCACTAGAACAATGAGTACACAGTACACAGTACAATAANCATTTTTTGATATTCTCCGAAATAACAATTTCATTCGAAAAAAACGAAAAACAGCAGGTTGGGTTTCCCCGTATAACTCGAGAGAAGCGAAAGTCCCCGTAAACTTTCTTCGACCATTGTATTGTTCCCGATGACAGTTTTTTCCCATTTGATCGTCTTCGTATCTGTTATGGTTTAGAATTTAGCAATGTTACTACACGATAAAAGAAACGGCCTGTATATGTGGTATTTATGGAATAGGATAAAACCCTTTTGGAATTGCGCTATCAATTTATTTTATTTTTCAAATGATATTGTTATGAAATAATTTTCATCCAGATATATTTCATGCAAAAATTCATCGAGTTCAAAATGTCAACTGATTCTGCTATGTTACATGGCTATAATGTTTGACAACCTGAAGGCTCATTAACATAGGCTGCTCGAAAATGGGAGTAATGGTTACAGCAATCGAGGCCGCTGACACCAAAAAAAAATTAAGAATCTGAACCATAAGATGGCCTTAAAGTTTCAAACTATCACCAACTACAGAGTAGTATGAGTAGAAAAAATAACTTCATTGGCAAAAATTTGATATCCTCTATTGAATATTTCTGATGACAATACACATGTATAAGAATTATTATCACTGAAATGTGATAGTCGACTGGATCAAATTTAGATACTAGAATTATACTTTTTAGTATCGAGAAATTCAACAGTAATATTCAACATTTTTTAATTACACTGACCCGTTTGTTGGTGGAAATCAAAACCACTATTCAAGATAATAATTACAAATATTCACAATATTGACCAATTACTAAAAAATGTAATTAGTTGCTTTATAAAGTCAAGTTGTTTATTTCTTGATATTCACTATTCACTCTGTGAAGATAAAAATACACAGATCGGAAAAGTCTAGGGATATTCTTATAACATACTAAATATCATAAAAGTAAATGCATGAGGTCGTTTAATTTCGATTAAATCGGTACACTCGACTACCCTGTAGATTTCTATGGGTTGAACAAAGCCTGCAAAAACGGTAACTAATCTTTTATGAAAATGAATAATCTGAAAGTGTCGAGTTTGTACATTCTATGCAGTTCTTGCTCAGCAATTAAACTGGAAATATTGTGCTTTAACATGGAACGCCATCACTTACCATTGGCTGAGATGAATAGAGCTGTAGGGCTTCTTCAAGGTNGGTGGTCGAGTGTACCAATTTAATCGAAATTAAACGACCTCATGCATTTATTTTATTGATATTTAGTATGTTATAAAAATATCCCTAGACTTTTCCGATGTGTGTAATTTCAATGTGTCAATTCGGAATATTACATACTTATAAAAATCGTTCACCACTATATTCGCATAGCACAAATCACTTCATATATTCTCTATCTAACACAATCGGAGCATAACTAAACACTCATTCCACAACAAGTAGAATTCAGAAACACTCGTTGAATAAAAAAATTTGCGATACTTGAAAAGAATGCTATAATTATAAAGAGATTATAATACAAATGGAGCGGATGGATCTGATTAAAGTGGTACTTTCAGTACAAGTCATAATAATCATTCACCAAGATTAACCTACCTTCTGAAATAACAGTATAATTTGGATGTTTTTATCAAGATAATATAGGATAGGGAATGAAAAAATTCACATGAACTTGGCTTGATGCTGATGGGTTTTTACGGGAATTCTATTGTCTCCATTTGATTGAGAATATAAAATGACGAAATTGGTTTTTGAAGAACTGATTTCCAAGAGAGAATTGAATAACGCTAAGTAGAAGTAGAATTACTGGTGCATCAAAATCGACTGGTTGTTTGTCTCTTTATTCTTCTGAGGGTTGTCGTTCGTAGGGGTGCGACAGCTGGTTAACGGAAAAACAGATTTTAAACAGATTTTAGGTAATATCAGTGGACATTTTAAGTAAGTATTACTTCAAAAGTATCTTAATACAATAGGCCTGCATCATTGAAATTATTCATTTAATTCACTAACTCTGGGTAATGCTTCTACCGTATACTGCATCAATTAACGATTTCAGTATATTTCTTTTCCATTCCAGATTCTACAGTCAAAATAAAAAATGAAATGATGACTATCGGCGCAATTCTTGTAAAAATTTATGAAACACGACGCTCATTTATGGTTGCTATTCAGATTTTCTATTTTAGTCCTTTCCATCCGATTTTGATATGAAACTTTGATTGAATATATTTTGCCTTCCTCTTTGGGTGTTGATTTCACTATCTTACGATTTTAATATAGTCTCTGACTGTAGAATTTCAACTTCAATTTTGATAAAAGACTTCGATAAAACCCTGTCAAACATTGAGTTTTGATACTCGTGAATCGATTCAGATTTTCTGGTCATATTAAGGAAAGAACACAATGTAGATATTTCTGTCTCCAACTCTTAATATCTTCATCATTATGTATTACCTCGATTTGTCTATTCGATTGCGATTACTCTGACGAATGATACTGTTCAATAAGTTTCAATAATCATCTCTGGCTTGAGAGTTGGTTCTTTCGATTTTTATATGAGAATCTTACAAAACGATCCTGGACATTCATTCTGCTTGGTGTTTCTGGAGCCAAATTTTCAGTTTGACAGCTACCAACTTCAAAATTGTTTCAGTTGACACCGGTTCGAACCTTGGTTTCCTACACCCAATTTTGAGACCAGATGCAAAAATGCAAAAAAGTCGATTCTTAATTCAAGGAGAAGTTCTTTCTATTTCAACCCCAACTGCCATAACTTCTTCTCCATCCCTTCCCCAGGTGACCATCACCATCATCTTAGGTTGAACAAACCTAAGATTTTCTAAGAATAATATTCAGGCAGTTTTTACAGAAATACTCTTTTGAAACGGAAAAAATATCGTCAACAAACTGTCTTACTACTGTCTGAGCACTCTGGTCAGTATTATACCCAGAACAGGTTGGCGTCAGAAAATGGTGCTCAATTCATAGATCTGGAATTAGACAATCACGATACGCTGAATACTCAAACATGCTTAATTGGAAACTTTTTCT